TTATAAAAACCATTATTTATATAGTAGCCTCTTCTACTTTCTCCAATAAGTTTTCCGTTTTTGTTGGTGTGAAATTCAGTACAAGTAATCGTTGGGGAGAGTTGTGTAATTTTTATATTTTTATATATTGTAAATTATATATTAAGCTTATAATATTTATCAATATCAAACTCTAATTCTAATTAGAAATTAAAACTCAATTTATTTCTTATAATAAACTGATTAAACCAGTTTTAAACTCTAAATAAGATCGATTTTATTATCACATAATCTTTCGATGTTTATCATCCAATTAAAATTTTGGATCAGGTTTAATATACAAATATCATTTATCTTAAACTTTTATCTAGTAAATGCCTTTAACAAAAAAATTTCTCATGCAATTTAATGCTCTTTCTAATTTAACCCAAATCCTAGCCTAATATAACAAAGTTTTTGGTCTGGTTTTCTATCATTATGTAATAGTAATAAACATTAAACTAAATATAACTAAACTGAATTTTTATAATTACATATATAAGTACAATACAAGAATTTAAAAACCTCAATCTTTCTATATAGAAATAATGCATAAAGATGGGTGGCTTGCACTTACATGATTTGTTTTATATAAGTTATATTATATGATGATTAAGCAATGTTACTGATAAGTATAAGATAGCACATAAACTGAGTATATTAAAAATAAATTGCTTAAATTATCTATCTCAATAACAATATATATACAACTATTCTATGCATACTAAAACTTTAAAATAAACATTTAGCTTATCCTTAATGTGTTATATAAATGATCTTTATTCTATAAAATGATTGAGGTTTTTAGAATTTATTATGTAAATCAAATTTGCATTTAACATTAAATATATAACAATTTAGGTTTACTCTTAGTTATATATACATATAGAATACATATCAAATATAATATTCACAATTATGTTTTATATCTAATATAAATGTTTCACTGTTACATATAGATATAAAAGTTAAATAAATGCTTTCATGTGATTCTTACATGTGATCAGTGAAATTTTATTTAAAATTTTAATTTTAAATTGCAATTATTTAATAGTATATGCCAATATTACTTAAATCATTACTTTTGTCTTCTAGAACAAGTTATCTAATTATAATCAGTACTACTACAAATTTTACAATGCAACTTGCATTTTACCTTTTTTGGTAGTTTATTGGCCTGTTGTATTCTATTAGTTCCCTTAGGCTGACCCTTACCCTTATGCTTATAAGAATTAATTAACTCTTTTAGATCCAATCCAATTTTATTAGTAACATCTTCACTTTTACTATTTGAAGCACTATTTGAATCAACATTATTATCGCTATAAGAAGATCAGCAATTGTCTAGATATTTATCAAGAATAGAAATAAAGTTGTAATCATGTCTTCAAACAGCTATCATTAAAGCTGCTCTAGTCTTGCCTTATGCTTCTTTATATAGTTTTTGCTCATCAATTGTTTAGTGATTTATGTTCTGCATTTTATATATAGTACCTTAATCTAAAGCATTAAAATAAGGAATTGAACCATTCTAACTTATTGTCAATGACTGTTCTAACATGAATTTTTGTGCAACTAGAAATGATTCTTGCACTAGATCACTACTAGTTTTATTATACTACTATGATCTTATAAGCTGAATATGAAATGTTGCAGCTTGTATACATAGCATTATCTGAAAAAAATAACAACAAACAATTCCACGATTATAATACTCAAAACAAGAGCATAAATGTGTTCTATCATTCAAGAGTATTAAAAAATGCTATGTTTTATTTGATATAACACATTAAACTTATCACATTTCTACAACCTTATTTGTATCGATAAGATTAAGTATTGATTTAGCAATAATATTAGTAAAATTTTTATTAAATAAAGCAAAATTATTCAGATTTACCTAAATCATTAAAGTAAGTTACTATATAGATTATCACTGCTGCACTAGTAGTATATACATGTGATTTTTATAATATTAATTAATGTAACAATTAAGCACTATGCAGTGATAAGGTGCATGATGTCCATCCCTAGTTATATGACAAACTAAAATTTACTTATGGTAAGAAATCTTTGCAAATTTTTTTAAACTACTATTGTAGCATAGTATTGAAGTAATTGTTTTATTTGATCTTTCTGAATCTTAAGCATTTCTGCAGTTAAATACTTGCATACATTAGAAAGAATACTATTAGCTGTCACAACCAAAGCTGCTTTAGGAACTGACACATAAAATAAAATGTATTCTGTTTTTTTGTCTTCAAAAATATATGTTATTAATTTTTCTGCAAGGTCTAATATAGTTGTATTAGAATTAAATATTAACCTCTTGATCTTTGCATTATAACTTTCAACCTGTAAAGTAGATAACATTTCAGTCATAAATAATTTAAGTACAAATGCTTTTGCCTATGATTTCTTATTAGCATAAAGCCATTGCAAGTAATTAACCACACCTTTATTATTATATTTATCAAGTAGGCATTTCTACCGATATTCAAACATTGCAATAAAGCTATTTCATTGTACTTCAAAGAAATCTCTAATAAACTCATTATAATTGTCTTTAAAATAATTTTTCAAGTTTAGAGATATATTTTGCACAATGTGAAACATGCAATAAAAAGTATTTGTAGTTGAAAATTCATCATGTATTGCAGTGACTAAGGCAGAGTCTGCATTGTTAAAAATAATCTGTAAAGTAGCCTCATTTGTTGCATGTTTAATTTGCTGCAAAATTCAGCTATGTACATCTTTTGTTTCATTATCTGTTAATGCCTGAGCCACAAGTCTGAAAGATAAATGGTTGTTAACTACTAAAAAAAGTAACAATGCCATCTTATAATGATTAGTAGCACTAGTATTGTTATTCAAAACAATGTCACCAAACTTCAACCATTGTTCAATTTGGTCAGGGAACATATAAAATAATCAGCAAAGACATTTACTATTAGGATCCCAATCTACTTCAACCTACCATCGAGGATCAACTTCTTTCTTGCTTAGCAACTCCTTATATAATTGGCTAATATCATTAGTCTGGTCATATAATCTTGAATGAAATCATTGAATTACATATTACAGCACTAGCATATAGACCTCGACAAAATATTTTTCCTCAAAAGCTTTACAGATTTGCTGAAGGCTACAATTCATCTTTGTTACAAAGAATTTAACATCTTTAGTCATCTCTGTTGTGAATATTATATTTTTCTGAAAATTGTAACATGTTTGGTCAAGGTTATGATTTTTATGTTCATTAATTAATTTTGCAACATATATGAGCTTGTGAGGATTATCTTTTTCTAGACATGACAAATTTATTTGCCATATGCATTCAACACATTTTGCTATTGTTTCTTTTCTTGAATCTTTGCTTTTTGTTGCTTCAAGGTGTCCAAAATGTTCACAAACCAATGTACATCTCTGGACTTTTCTATTTTTTAATTTTTCAATATGATAACAGCATGTTTTAAACTCTTCTTTTTTTTTTCTACTTTTTGATTTCATTAATAGCATGTTTCCAGTTATGAAACATCAAGCCTTTTTGTAATTCATAATGCTAATGGTCTTCAAGATTTTCTATTTTGTTTTTTTCATAGTCAGTTTAATTCATATCATTTAGTGCATTACTATCTGTACTAACATCAACAGCTTGTCTATTATTATACAGTGCATCAAATATATTATCTATACAATCTCATTTACAGAAAGTTGCTTGTCTTAAAATTCTTTATAGTAAGCACCTTTCAGATTTATTATAAAGTTATTTTTACCTTCAATTTGATTTCCAAAATCAAATTCATTTTGGTTAATTTCATACAGTTAATCTATTTCATTAATCGAATTATTTCATCCAGAAAACATTATATTTCTTTGAACTTTTTTATAATAGGAACTTTCAAAACTCATTATATTATGAAATCTATTATTATAGAATTCGTCATTACTAATATTAGTTCTATTCATTACATTCAAATCATGAAACATCATATTTGCTTGGCTTTATATTGTTAATAATATTAAACTGGCTTGGTTATAAACAATTATATCATTTATTGTTAGTGATAAAAAAATAAAGGAATATAAACCTTATCACTCTGCTTAATTAATGATTGTGAAATTGAACTAATTTATTAATAACTGCTTATTTGATTTGTAGTTCTGGAACAACTGGAAAGCCAAAAGGTATATCTTGAAGATGAAAAATTTTCTCTTAATTAAAGCTTTAATAGCAACTTAAAGAATTTCTAAATGCATGATCAGAACTGATGCACAAACATAAGTAGTATTAAATATAAGTATATCAAGTGATGTCAAATGTATATTGTATTAAGCATAAGTGGAACTAAAAATAACTTGTATTAAGTGCAATCAAAATCAAATATAAGTTGTATTAAGCACAAGTGATATAAATGTAAGTTGTATCAAGCATAAGTGATAATAGGTATAAGTAATAACAGTGTCAAGTGTAAGTGATCAGTGAAAGTGATCAAGTGAAAATGATTATACAAAAGTAATCAAATGAAAGTAATCAAGTAAAAATAGTCATGAAAATAGTCACATGAAAATAGTTAAGCAAATGCGATCAAACAAAAATAGCAAAGCAAAAGTGATCAAATGAAAATAACAAAACAAAAATTAGAATTTTTTTTTATTTTGATAAAATTAATTTATTAAACTTTTTTGTTACATCATATATGATAAAAGTTGCATCATAGTGCTATAGTGCTACAATGCTATAGCATTATAACAATATTTCTATATTAAAAATTACTTGTCTTATAATATCAAAAAAGTAAAACTTAAAAAAATATAAGTAAATTTAAAGCAAACAAA